AAATATACAAAAATTAGCAGGGTGTGGTGGTGCATGCCTGTAGTCCCAGCTACTTGAGAGGCTGAGGCAGGAGAATTGCTTGCCTTAAAAAAAGAGAGAAAAAGAATAACTAAAATACATAAGGAACTCACACAACTCAATAGCAAAACAGTAATAGTAGTAATAATCTGACTTTAAAATGGGCAAGTGATCTGAATAGACATTTTATAAAAGATGCACAAATGGCCAACAGGGGCCAGGTGTGGTGTCTCACGCCTGTAATCCCAGCCCTTTGGGAGGGGTAGAAGGGTGGATAACTTGTGGCCAGGAGTTCGAGACTAGCCTGGCCAACATGATGAAAACCTGTCTCTACTAAAAATACAAAAATTAGCTGGATGTGGCAGTTTGTGCTACAGCAGAGCCTCCATCTCCAGGACCTCTGTGCCAGCCCTCCTCCGTGTGTGCCCAGCAGCCACCACTGCGGTTCCTGAAACTCCAGTCCCATGGTTACTCTGGCACTCATGGGTCTCTGTATGGCATGGTGCCCAGGTGGGGCTGGCTATCAGCCCCAGCCCTCTGTGAGGTGGGTGCTGTGATTCTTGGAGGCTCCTGGCTTCTAGTTCTCTGTCTTCCCAACCTTCTGAGCTCCCAGGCCCACACCAAGTTGTGGTCTGGCCTATGGCAGTGGGGCTGTGGCCACCCTGTTCACACCCACCCACCTCTGCTGGGGTCCCTTGGAAGCATTCTCCCCCATTTCTGGCTGGGTGAGGATCCAGGACACCTCCCCTCATTCCAGGAGGGAGATCAGATCAGGTGGGGGGCTAGGAATCCTGCTTGAGGAAGACAGTCCAGAGGCCTGGAGTGAGCCTGGGCTGGCACAGCAGGCAGAGCCTGAACCAGGGGACCCTCTCACACCCAGCTAGCGAGGCGGGCTGCTCACAGGACACTTGAAGGGTTGGGAAGAAGCTGCAAAGATCTCATCCCCGGAGATGCACAATTGTGGCACAAGTCTCCAGCCTCTCGATTTGGCTGCTAGAGCAAAGCAAATTCTGTCTGTGGTTGTCATCATGCAGTCCTAAACAGAAGATCACTACAGGGAGAAGTGATGTCCTCTGTACTCTGATGGGTGTGGTATAGGTGAGGACTGTCCAGAGGGCCCAGGGCACCTTCAGGGAACACCCACAGCACCCTCCACCTGATGCTAACCTTGCCCTTTCCCACAGGAGCCCAAAAAAGTAATAATAGTAATAATCTGCCCTAGTGCCCTCCTTGCAGTGTCCTAGTGCCCTCCTGGCAGTGTCCGTTCCTCCTCAGCTCACCCGTCGTCAGGCACTGTTCCTCCCTAGGTGTCCTTTCCACTGCACAGAGGTTTGGACCTGGCAGTAAGTGAAGTAAAACCTGACCTCACAAAGACATTTTGAAACCATGAAACCAGGGAGTGTGTACATAGATTGAAGAAACTTTTGTTTGCCGGGCTCCATCCCTGCTCTCCAGGGTTGCCCAAGCATCTGGGGCCTTGATCCTGGAGAGGATGCTCCCTCCAGGGCTAGCTAATTCCCAGAGACAGCAAACAAATACTCCCCTTCCAATGCACTTCTTTTTTTCTGAGACAGAGTCTCACTCTGTCACCCAGGATGGAGTGCAATGGTGCAATCTGGGCTCATTGCAGCCTCTGCCTCCTGGGTTCAGGGAATTCTCCCACCACAGCTTCCCGAGTAGGTGGGACTACATGAGTACACCACCACATGCGCCTAATTTTTTTGTATTTTTAGTAGAGACGAGGTTCTACCATGTTGGCCAGGCTGGTCTTGAACTCCTGACCTAAGGTGATCCTCCCACCTCAGCCTCCCAAAGTGCTGGGATTACAGGCATGAGCCACCACGCCTGGCCCTAGTGCGTCTTTGAGACACAAACCAACCAATCTAGAGTCCACAACTATCTCCCTTATCACACTGTCACTCACTAAGCCAATATTTCCTCTGCCCTAAGTTACCCGGGGCCAGGTACTGGACAAAAAAGGACCACCCCTGTAGCCCAGAGCCTGCCACGATTGTTCAAACAGTCCAATCCTGAGCTCACTCCACACACCTACCCCACACCTGCCTTCTTCCAGAGAAAATAAAGACTCTGCCGGAACTTGGCCCTCTTCCCCTTTCTGCCTCCTGACCATCCCTGGTCCTTCTCACATGGCCCTGTGTGCCCTGCCCCATTTCCAGGGACCCATGACCGTAATGTCTTCTGTCTTGACTATCATTCTCATGTCTGCATGTCTTACCCCACATCTGATTAAAACAAATCCAAGGCATATTTAAACTCACTTTGAGATGTAGGGATCCCCTCACTACAGATGGCAAGGGACTTGCAGACAGAGCCTGTTGGAAGCACCATTGCTCTGAGCTGTCCACTTGGATTCGGAGAGTGCTGTTGGAAATGCAGCATCTCCTTGAAAGTGCCTTTTTGGTTGAGTTTTTTTTCCTGGAAACATTTACAGCTTGGAATTGTTCTATCTGGCCAGATATGAGACTAGAGTTGTCCCAAAAATGGCAGGGAGTTGCCTCAAAGGACTTCTCAAAACAGTTCAGAGATGAAATTGGTTGGGATTCCCAAGAGAAACACTAAACGCCAGGGGTGATCAGTTCAGAGCATTTCTTCTGGAAATTTACATACGGAGCTTCAGCTTTCTTGGGATCCACGGTGAGGCAAGGGCTGCTTTATCAAGGTACATTTGCAGTGAGGGAGTCTGGCTATGGAGTTTAGATGAGGGTTCAAGGGATTGGGCTCAGGACAGGGACATTTCTACGTGTTTAGCAACAGGGTTGATTGTGTTTTTAAGCAACCTGAACAGCTTTATCAGGGAATGTGCTCAGCCCCAGACTGGGTTCAAGGCTGCAGTGGCCAGGTCCCAGAGCACTCAAAGGACTCTGTGTTTCTTAATTAGTAGAGAAAAAAAGCAGGGGAGCTGGAAAACCCTATGAATCCCAATCTCAAGACAGGGATGAATAATTCAGGCTGGCCCAGAGCAGAAGCACCATGACGATGTGAGGGTCTGAGTGCGCCTGGCTGTGGAGGGTCTGCTTGCTCTAGACTCAACCAGGCAGTGGATGCAGTGGATGGAGGCAGCCCCCTCGTCCCAGACAGGCCATCAGGGCCTCAGAGCTCTGGCACTTGCACCCTGGTAGGTGCCTACCAGGTGGATGCTCTGGGCCAGGTTCTCTCCCCGTCCTGCTGTGTTATCCTGGTGTGTCCCCCTCACTTGCAGCAGGCTAGGTTGGGGTACAGGGTTGCCCGCCCCTACCAGCCCTGGGGGTCTGAAGGGCGGCTGGGGAAGCAGATCTCCTTTCCTTTCCTATCCTATGCGACATGCTCCCTGAGCAGCTGGGATCCACTTAGGTGACCAGAGAGAATGCGGGGCTGAGGGATTCGAACTCAGAGGCTACAGGGGCTGGGGTGGGAGTGCTGGAATCATCGGCGAGGGGAGAGGTGAGACCGGCTTCTTTTTCACCTGGGCCTTCCTGGGGGTTGGGGGTTGCCTGATTGTTCCTTCTTGCACAGGTTTCCAAGCGCCGGTTCGGATCAAGATGCCGGGAGAGCCCGGCTTATGTCCCTCCCGGACCCCCGCCCCGGTCTTCCCGAGGGAAGGGGCGCGTCAGGCGGCCTCGGCACCCTCCGACTGCGGGGCTTCGCCGGGAGCCGCGCGGGGAAGTCCAGGCAGCCGGGACGCAGGCAGCGTCCACACCGAGGTTTCGGGGCCGGGTCCGCCAATGGGAGGCGCGCAGGCTCTGCCGGACGCAGAATGAACCCGAGGGCGGCGCGGGGCCGGGGAGGAGCGAGGGGATGCCGGGCCCAGCCTCCGGCAACTCCGACGGGCGCCCTCCCTCCGGGTCCAGGAAGCCATGCGACCCCGCGCCCGCTTCAGCCCCCCGCCGGGGACAAGGCCCGGGCCCGGCGTCTTCACTAGGCTGGGCAGGGAGTGCGCCCAGCAGGCGCCTCCGTTGCAGGAACGCGGGCGGGCGGCGCCTGGACAGCCTCGGTGGGAACCAGCGCCCGAGGCTGCTGATCCGGGTGCGCAGGGCCCAGCCGGGCGACCCCTGGATCTCCGTCAGCCTCGCCACGCCGCCGCCTCCCCAACACGCCAGCGAGCCGGGAGGCGCAGTCTCAACTCCGGGAGCCGCCCCGCTCCTGCTCAGGTACCGCCCATCACGGGCTCTGGGCCCTCCTCTCGCTCGCGGCTCTGGTCCCTACCCGCCTCCGACTGTAGCTCCGCCCCCAGTCCCCGACCCCGCCTATCTGGGCTTCCGGTCCCGCCCAGGCTCACGTCCCTCGGGCCCCAGCCTCGCCCCTCCTCGGCTCTGACTGGAGGCGGGGCTGAGAATCACCGAGATGGCTGGGCCTCCGAGGCCCCAGAGCGGCCGGAAGTCTGCGGGGCGGGGCGCGGCGGACGCGAGTGGTGGAGGCCCGTTTCCGGCGGCGTCGCGCGTTTGCGAGCCTCGGGTGGTCCTCAGGGAGGGTGAGTCGGCGCGGTGGGCGCGGACTCTGGTTGTCCTCGGTCTGAGTGACCGCTGATGGCTTCCTGCGCTCTCCCGCTTTCGGCACTGCTGTCGCCGCGTCCCCCCGGCTTTTAGTCGGGAAGCCGCGGGGACTTTGTGGGGCCCCGAGCGCCTAGCATGGGAGGTGGTCGAGCATAGGCGGCCCACTCCCGCTGCGGCTCGAGGGTGGGCTTCGTTTGGCCGAATCTGGCAGCTCCTCGCATGCCCCGCTCGTGGCAGGCCCCGGTGTCAGGGGTCCGAGTAAGGCGAGCTCCAACTGCAGCCTTTTCTGCAGGCTTGGGCCTACTCCGGGACCCTGACTCCCTCTTCTGAGAAATCATCTCCTTCTGGGGCCCTCCCTTTTTGCTTACTGCCCCGGAAGGCCTAGAATAAGTGACAGTGGCAGAAAAGAACGGTGTCTTGGGTGCGGTGGGCTGTTTGTCTTCTCCAAACTCTGGTTGCTACTCTGGGCATTCCTACTGTCAGGAGCCGGGGATGGGAGGATCCTCCTTCGGTGGTCACTGCTGCTTGGGTCAGCCTCCCTGTGCTGGTGACCTGGGGCTTCCACCCCACAAACCACTTTCTGGGCTAGATGCTGCCATACGAAGACTCTTCCCATTCCGGCCTGCAGGGGGCAGTGCCTGGTCAGGTAGAGGGTCTGGGGTCATTGGCTTAATTGAGGTGAATGATTTATGTCAGATTACACCCCTGGGCGTGGTTCCATCCTGGTGGCAGGTGAGCGGGAAACTGGAATTTATGTACTTGAGGGTAGGGGTTTCTATGTCCGCTTCTGTCTACCCTACAGTCCGTCATTCTTGCTCCTATGTACTCCAACCTCCGGTAGCTTACTGCCTTCCCTTGCTGTTAGTGATTTACCCACTGGTTCATCCAACCCCATTTTTTTCTTGCCTCAGGCCCTTTCACATGCTATTCCTGCTGCTTGGAGTGCTCTCCCCATCTCCATTACCTTGGCTGAGGTCCCTGGGGAAGTGACCCATTAGACCAAGTCACTGTTCTGGTCTAAATATTTTCATAGTTCCCTGTACTTCAGCGCTGTCCTGGTTGTAATGTGCTTATTTGTGTGGTTATTTAACTCTTTCTCCACCAGACTGCTCTGTGAATGCAGGGTCCTCCTGTCCACTACTGTCCCCATTACTCAGTGCCTGGCACATGGTGTCCACTCCTTACAGATTTGTGGAGTGATTCGCACATGGCACACACACACTCACACACACTAAAAGAGGAACAAGAGTTCAGTGGGCCTCCTTCACTAACCCCCTTGATTAGCCTGGAAGCTGGGCTTCTGGCATTCTGACCTCTAATCCTTTCATGATTGCCAACAGGTCTCTCAGCCAGAACACGTGGATGCCCACCCACCAAGTCTCATGGTAGGAAGCTTGACTGCCTCCTTCCCCTTGCTTGTCCTGTGAAGCCCCATCTCCTGCTCTGCCCACTTGACTTGGGCCCAGACCCTACTTTGGCCCTTGCTAGGGCTTAGGAAAGCCCCTTTGCCCCCATCCCTGAAGTAGTGAGCAAACTCCTGTTCAAACCAGGGCCTAATTGAGGCTCTTGAAGGGGGAGGGTTTTATGATCACCACGACTGGGTTCCTTCCTCCTCCCCCAGACTATCCTGCCTCAGAATATTAGAGCCAAAGAAGTCCTGGTGAGCGTCTCACCCAACCCCATGGTGCACCTGCCTGAGACATGCCATGAGGCAGCACCAGAAGGGGGCTGGCACCCAGGGATTCCTGGGGTGCTGGTGTATGTCCTTTCAGGAGGTGGTAACATTTGGCGATGTGGCTGTGCACTTCTCTCGGGAGGAGTGGCAGTGTCTGGACCCTGGCCAGAGGGCCCTCTACAGGGAAGTGATGCTGGAGAACCACAGCAGTGTGGCTGGACTAGGTGAGGCTGCACCTCGGGGCCCCCTCCCCTGTGTCATCAGTCAGCACCCACCCAGCTAGGCCTCCATCAGAGGCTGGGATATGGAGGCCAAATGCTCAGACCCCTGTGGGCTCCACAGGGGCCTTGGACTCATGAGTGTGCCAGGATGGTTCCTGGCTTTGTGCATGTCATGGGGTTCAGCCCCCAGAGGATCGGTGGGATTCTGGGGGTTAGTAAAGCCTCTTTTTTTTCCTAAGATGTTAAATTGGTGAGTAATAGAATCCAAGCTTGAAATAGCTTATTAGACAAGAAGAGAGAAATTATTGGGTGGAGGAATCCAAGGCAAAGGTTGTACAACCAGAGCAAGAGGTGGCAGCGATGCCCATGGGGCTACAATACAGAGGCTGTCAGGGCACCCCCTTGCTCTCCTGTCTTGCCATTAGTTCTCTCTGAACTCTACCACTGCCACAGGCAGCCACCATGGTGCTCTTTGTGTCCGTGTCTGTGTTCTTACAAGGTATGTACTGTCGTTGGATTGCAACTTGGTGAAGGGGGCGGTGTGTGTCTAACTTGGGCATTGCTCGGCCTCTTGCCTGTGACCAAGCCCTCTGCTGCCTTGTACCCCCAAGGGAGTGCCTGGGCTGGGGGATCAGCAATGGAATGGATGAGGGCATAGTTGGTTGGCCAGGAGCTTCTTGGGGTGTTGGACTAGGCCTGCACCCCTCTTTACTGGCTAGCCTGGCAAAGTCCAGCTTTCTGTTTTGCCAGTCAGATAAGTGTACAGTGGGAGGCTATTGTGATTTGAGTTTGCATTTCCCTGATTTCTGCTGAGCTTGAGCATATTTTCACAACCTCATTAGCTTGCCAGGTTCTTCCGTAAAATATCTGCTCAGGGAGTTTGCCCATTCTAGGTCTGCCATGCCTTACTGATTTGAAGGTGTTATTTCTTCATTCTGTCTAAGATGCCTTACGTTGTAAAACACATAATTATGTACCCATCATTATTTTAGGAAAGGTGGAATGCTACTGATTACATGCATTTTTTTTCTTATTAATTAATTTTACTTTGTGCTTTCTAAAGAGTTCTCTTAGACTCATTTAAACCTGGTTTACCATGTGTCACTGAAATAGAAAGGAAAAGACATGGAGTGAGGGTACTTCTAATGTTTCTTCACAGCTTTTAGTCACGCACTGTCTGGGTTGGTTATCTGTGTCCTTGCTTTCCACATGATGGCAACTTGTGGGCCTGGTCATAAAGAGGTGCTGTAGCCTTAAGTGTTGTTGGGGTTTTCTTCATCCAGTGAGGTTGGTGCTTGAGCTTTCTTGCCTGGCATATAGCAGCCATCCCTTTTAAACAGCTCCATCTGCTGTCCTGTCCTCCTCTCAGGCCCTGTGTGTACACAGTTGCTGATTTGCCAGTAACTGGAATTGCAGTCATTCTTTTTGTTTTTTGAGACGGAGTTTCGCTCTTGTTACCCAGGCTGGAGTGCAATGGCGTGATCTCGGCTCACCGCAACCTCCGCCTCCTGGGTTCAGGCAATTCTCCTGCCTCAGCTTCCTGAGTAGCTAGGATTACAGGCACATGCCACCACGCCCAGCAAATTTTTTGTATTTTTAGTAGAGGGGGGGGGGTTTCACCATGTTGACCAGGATGGTCTCGATCTCTTGACCTTGTGATCCACCCGCCTCGGCCTCCCAAAGTGCTGGGATTACAGGCTTGAGCCACCGCGCCTGGCTGCAGTCATTCTTCCAGCAACAGTTTGCTTCTCCAGTCTCAAAGGTACACCTGCTGTTCTTTTTCCGTGGCGTTTTTTTTTTTTTTTTTTTTTTTTTTTTTTTTTTTTTGAGACGAAGTCTTACTCTGTTGCCAAGGCTGGAGTGTGATGGTGTGATACTGGGTCACTGCAACCTCTGCCTCCTGGGTTCAGGTGATTCTCGTGCCTCAGCCTCCTGAGTAGCTAGGATTACAGGCACCTGTCACCACGCCCAGCTAATTTTTGTATTTTTCATAAAGACAGGGTTTCACCATGTTGGCCAGGCTGGTCTCAAACTCCTGACCTCAGGTGATCCACCTGCCTCGGCCTCCCAAAATGCTGAGATTATAGGCGTGAGCCACTGCACCTGGCCCCATGGCCTCTATTTATTCATAATGTTCTGCTTGTGCCAAGTCAAAGGGTAAACTTTTTGAAGATAGTGTAAGGTGCAGTTGAATTCAGCATGTGTTGTATGATGTGCTGATGACTCACCTGCAGCAGTGACTGAGTGGCTGGGGCAAGCTCATGTGTGCACAGGCCGTGGTGATGTGTCACAGCTGCCACTTGCTGCATGACATCAATTTCTAGATGCGTCCAAGAGATGGGAAAGGGTTTTATAAAAAGACGAACTTAGGCCGGGCGCGGTGGCTCAAGCCTGTAATCCCAGCACTTTGGGAGGCTGAGGCGGGTGGATCACGAGGTCAAGAGATCGAGACCATCCTGGTCAACATGGTGAAACCCCGTCTCTACTAAAAATACAGAAAATTAGCTGGGCATGGTGGCGCGTGCCTGTAATCCCAGCTACTCGGGAGGCTGAGGCAGGAGAATTGCCTGAACCCAGGAGGCGGAGGTTGCGGTGAGCCGAGATCGTGCCATTGCACTCCAGCCTGGTAACAAGAGCGAAACTCCGTCTCAAAAAAAAAAGACTAACTTAGAATTTATCGAATTTGATAAATACCAGGTTAGTTTTGTGCATTATAAATTACTTTTTCTGCCGGACATGGTGGTGCATGCCTGGAGTCCCAGCTACTGGGGAGGGTGAGGAGGGAGGATTGCCTTCCCTTGAGCCTGGGAGGTCAAGGCTGGAGTGAGCTATCATTGTGCCACTGCAGTCTAGCCTAGGCAACAGAGTAAGACCCTGTCTGAAAAAAAAAGTATCTTTTCCCCTCTTCCATGTTTGTTAACTTTTTTAGGTCAGATTTTAATGTAATTAATCAGTTTTTGCCTTATGGATTGTCTCTTTGAAGTTTTATTTAAAAGTTCTGGCTAAGCACAGTGGCTTATGCCTGCAGTCCCAGCACTATGGGAGGCCGAGGTGGGTGGATTGCCTGAGCTCAGGAGTTGGAGACTGCCTCAGCAACATGGTGAGACCCTGTCTCTACATAAAAAAAAAAAAAAAAAAAAAAAAAAATTAGCCATGTGTGGCATTGTGTGCCAGTAATCCCAGCTCCATGGGAGGCTGAGGCAGGAGAATCTCTTGAACTTGGGAGGAAGAGGTTGTAGTGAACCAAGATTGTGCCACTGCACTCCACCCTGGGCAACAGAGTAAGACTCTGTCTCCCCCCCAAAAAAAGTAAGTTCTTCCTTGGCTGGGCACGGTGGCTCATGCACATAATACCAGCACTTTGGGAGGCTGAGGTGAGCAGATCACTTGACATCAGGAGTTCAAGACCAGCCTGAACATGGTGAAACCCTGTCTCTACTAAAAATACAAAAATTAGCCAGATGTGATGGTGGGTGCCTGTAATCTTGGCTACTTAGGAGGCTGAGGCAGGAGAATTGCTTGAACCTGGGAGGCAGAGGTTGCACTCAGCCAAGATCACACTAGTGCACTCCATCCTGGGTGATAGAGCAAGACTTCATCTCAAAAAGAAGAAACAAACCATTCTTCCTACTCCAAGGTCATTGAGATGGCCTTGATTTTCTTCAGTGGATTTTATAGTTTATATTTCTCATCTGTATCACACCTCGACATTTGTATTGGGGTTACATAAAACTCCCTGTTTTATTTTAGTCCAAACATAGCTGTTTTCCCCAACATAATCTATTAATTAACCTTTAATTCTTTTTTGGGAGGAGGGGTGGAGTTTTGCTCTTGTTGTGCAGGCCAGAGTGTAATGGCGCCACCTTGGCTCACTGCAACCTCTGCTTCTTGGGTTCAAGTGATTCTCCTGCCTCAGCCTCCTAAGTAGCTGGGATTACAGGCACATCCCACCATGCCCTGCTAATTTTTGTACTTTTTTTTTTTGAGATGGAGTTTCACTCTTGTTACCCAGGCTGGAGTGCAATGGCGCGATCTTGGCTCACCGCTACCTCCACCTCCTGGGTTCAGGCAATTCTCCTGCCTCAGCCTCCCGAGTAGCTGGGATTACAGGCGTGTGCCACCATGTCCAGTTAATTTTTTTTTGTATTTTTAGTAGAGACGGGGTTTCACCATGTTGACCAGGATGGTCTCAATCTCTTGACCTCGTGATCCACCCTCCTTTCCCTCCCAAAGTGCTGGGATTACAGGCATGAGCCACTGTGCCCGGCCCTAATTTTTATACTTTTAATAGAGATGAGGTTTCACCATGTTGGCCCGCCTGGTCTCAGAACTCCTAACCTCAGGTGATCTGGCTGCCTTTAATTCTTTTTAAAGATTTGCTTACGTACTGTTGGGTAATGGGGTCATTAATACAAAGTTTTTTTTTCATTGTTTTTTGGAGACAGTCTCTGTTGCCCAGGCTGGAGTGCAGTGGTGTGATCTCGGCTCACTGCAACCTTTGCCTCCTGAGTTTAAGTGATTCTCCTGCCTCAGCCTCCCAAGTAGCTGGGACTACAGGCGTGTGCCACCACGCCCAGCTAATTTTTGTAATTTTAATAGAGATGGGGTTTCAGCATGTTGTCCAGGCTGGTCTCAAACTCCTGGCCTCAGGTGATCCCCCAGCCTTAGCCTCTCAAAGTGCTGGGATTACAGGTGTGAGCCAAGTACAAAAATGCTATTGGTTCTGGAGGATGATCTTACATCTGGCAACTTTGTGGAACTCCCTTGCTAATTCAGTGTTGGTCAGTGATTCTGTTTTTTTCCAGCAGGACGATTACTGCAAATGAGAGTTTGGTATTTTCCCTCCCAGCCCTCACTCCTCCCATCTCTACCTTCTCAGTGGGCAGCAGAGTGTTAAACAGGATCCTATGGTCATGTGTTCCTGATTTTAAAGGGAACGCATCCACATAACCACAGAAGTTGGCTAAAAGAGTTTTTTTTTTTTTAATTTTATAAAGATGGGGTTTCACCACGTTGGTCAGGCTGGTCTTGAACTCCAACCTCAGGTGATCCGTCCGCCTTGGCCTCCAAAGATTACAGGTATGAGCCACCAACGCCTGGCCAAGAGTTTTATTTTTAATCATAAATAATGAATTTCAGGTTCTTTTTCTGCATCATTTGAGACACTTATACGATTTCTTTTCTTTCTTTCTTTCTTTTTTTTTTTTTAAGAGACAGGGTTTCACTATGTTGGCCAGGCTGGGCTCGAACTCCTGACCTCATCATGCACCTGCCTTATTCTCCCAAAGTGCTGGGATTACAGGTGTGAGCCACTGCACCCAGCCATGATTTATTTTCTTTATTAATGTAGGAAATTACATTGCTATATTTTCTTGTATTTTTGGAATAAACCTTACTTAAATCATGATATTTATATATAAATTTTGATACACCTTTGGATTCAGCTAGCCAATATTGTATTTTGGATTTTTATATTTCTTTTTATAAGAAATATGAACATATACGTATACACACACACACACACACACACACACACACACATATGTATTTCTTTTTGTGTATTTTCCTTTTTTAATTTTGACATGTTTGATAAATGGCATTTGGCATACAAATAGAACTTGGTGGAACTAATCTGTAAAACCATTGGGGCCTTGGGTTTTTGGGGAAGGAAAGTCTTAGATTAGCATTTATGCATTTATATTTCTTTTTCTTCTTTAAAGAGTTGGGGTCTTGCTGTGTTGCCCAGCCTGGAGTGCAGTGGTACAATCATAGCTCACTGTAGCCTTGAACTCGTGGGCTCAAGTGATCCTTCCACTTCAGCTTCCTGAGTAGCTGGGACTATGGGTGTGCGCCACCATGCCCAGCTGTTTTTTTCTTTCTTTGTAGAGTGGAGGTCTATGTTGCGCAGGCTAGTCTTAAACTCCTGGTCTCAAGCAATTCTCCCGCTTCAGCCTTCCAAAATGGAGGGATTACAGGCATGAGCCACCTTGCCTGGCCTTTCCTTTTGTTTTTAATCTGTTACATTTGTAATTCTCTTTTTTGGCAGCATCTTCTCACTATGTTGACCTTGATTAGTTTTGTCATGAGACGGTCATATTTATCTTTTCAAAGAGCTGGCTTTTGGTTTTGTCAGCCTTTTTTTGGGGGGGGGGTTGGGTTGGAGGATGTTTTTATATGTCTTTGTTCTCTATTTCTCTGAATTCTGTCCCAGATTTATTATTTTCTTCCTTTTTATTTATGTGAGTTTGGTGTATGTATGGTGTTTTTTTGTTTGTTTTGCTTTTTTATTTTTTGAGACAGGGTTTCACTCTGTTACCCAGGCTGGAGTGTAGTGGCTTACTGCAGCCTCAACTGCCTTGGCTCAAGCGACCCACCTCAGCTTCCCAAGTAGCTGGGACTACAGGCCTGGGCCACCATGCCCAGCTAATTGTTTTGTTTATTCTCAACTTTTTTTTTTTTTTGAGACAAAATTTTGTTCTTGTTGCCCAAACTGGAGTGCAATGGTGCGATCTTGGCTCACTGCAACCTTCGTGTCCCGGGTTCAAGTGGTTCTCCTGCCTCAGCCTCCCAAGTAGCTAGGATTACTGCCACCACACCCAGCTAATTTTTTATATTTTTATTAGAGACAGGGTTTCCCCATGTTGGCCAGGCTTGTCTTGAACTCCTGACCATCAGGTGATCCACCCACCTCAGCCTCTCAAAATGCTGGGATTAAGGTATGAGGCACCGTGCCTGGCCATTCTCAACTTCTTAAGCTTACTGTTTACCTCATTTGTGTTTTGAAATTCTCATTTCTAGGCTGGGCGCAGTGGCTCACGCCTGTAATCCAAGCACTTTGGAGGCCAAGGTGGGCGGATCACCTGAGGTCAGGAGTTCAAGACCAGCCTGGCCAACATGGTGAAACCCTGTCTTTATAAAAAAATAAAAAAATAAAATTATCATTTCTAGTAAATGATTTTTCTGGGTATAGTGGCATATGCCTGTAATCTCAGCTACTTAGGAGGCTGAGGCAGGAGGATTGTTTGAGCCCAGGAGTTTGAGGCCAGCCTGGGCAACATAGCAAGACCACATCTCTACAAAAAATTTTTAAAAATTAGCTGGGTGTGATGTCACACACCTATAGTCCTAACTACTCAGTAGGCTGTGGTGGGAGGATTGGTCTAGGTTATAGTGAACTATGATGGTGCAGCTGCACTCCAGCCTGAGTGACAGAGCAACACCATGTCTTTAAATAAATAAATAAATAACATTCTATCAGCCGGGTGCAGTGGTTCACACCTGTAATCCCAGCACTTTGGGAGGCCGAGGTGGGCGGATCATGAGGTCAGGAGATCCAGACCATCCTGGCTAACATGGTGAAACTGTGTTTCTACTAAAATACAAAAAATTAGCTGGCATGGTGACCTGCACCTGTAGTCCCAGCTACTCTTGAGGCCGAGGCAGGAAGAATTGCTTGAACCCAGGAGGTGGAGGTTGCAGTGGGCTGAGATTGTTCCACCACACTCCAACCTAGGCAGCAGAGCAAGACTCTGTCTCAAAAAAAAAAAAAAAAGTTTTATCTTTACATACTGCTTGGGCTGTATCCTATAAATTCTGACTCATAATAAATATGCTTGCCACTTAGTAATTTATTGTTTAGTTTCCAAGTAGCTAATCGCATCTAAGCAACATTTTGTGGTTAATCTCATTCTGAGCTGCATTTGGCTGGGTGCATGTTCTGTGGTATTGTTCTTTGGTGTGTCGGTGACTTGACCCGAGGGTGTTTCTTTGTTCCACATGTACTTGGAGAGAACGTGCATTTCTGTTGAGTCTGGAGTCCTGTCTGCATCTAGGGGCTTGAGTGTATTGGCTGTAGGCCTTTGGCATCTCTGCTTGCCTCTTTCCTTCCAGTGTGGGGAAGCTTGAGGGAAGCTTCCAACCAGAGGCCTCGGCTGGCCCATGGATCACCAACTCATCTCTGTACTGACTGCACAAAGAGGGTATGGGGGCAGATGGCCCCAAGAAGGCAGGGTGCCGGGCCCCCACAGGTCTCTGCCACCCAGTCCTTGGAGAGGAGAGCAGGCCCTGAGGCGTCCTTTGTGCAGGGACTTGAGGCTGGAAGGCTGCTGGCTGAGGACTGGGCCTTGGAACTTTCTGATGCAAAATTTGCTTCATTCATGTCTTTTTGTTGTTGTCTTAGTTTGTAACCACCCCTGCCTCTTTGGGCATCTCTGCTCTTTGAACTGAGCAACAGGCCCGGCTCTGCCAAGTGACTTTGGGCTTCTGCTCTCTCCCCTGAGTTCCAGGGGTGGAGTGGTGTTCTTTGCAGACTGTTTGGTGACAGGGTCATCTGGAGATTGTGGGAGTCATTTATCCCTTGCCATCCAGCCACAGGAACTGGATAGATCTGGACAGAAAGGGCTGCTGTGTCCCCAGATTCTCACCGCCCTTCACACCCCTCACTCCCCACAGGGGCTCTACCTGTGCCTTCCAGCCCCCCTGCCCCTTTACATTTGGAAGCCGGGGAAAGCTTAGCCTTGTGCTACATGCTCCCTGTCATGCTGACACTGTTTCCTGTGCCGCACACACAGCAGGATTCCTGGTTTTCAAGCCTGAGCTGATCTCCCGGCTGGAGCAGGGACAGGAACCATGGGTCCTCGACCTGCAGGGAGCAGAGGGGACAGAGGCACCAAAGACCTTCAAGACAGGTGAGGCTTAGACCCTGTCGCAGAGAAGCCCTGGGGTGAGGGGAAACTGCAGGAAGGGCCTCACAACCAGAGGCAGCTGTGGGCGAGTCCTGGGGGCTCTGCTGCGTGCCTGGGAATGCTATAGGGGACATGGCATCCAGCCCATAGAAGGATGCACAGATCTCCTTATGGGGCTGCCTTGGGAGAGGCCAAACTGCACACAAAAACCCATGTGTTTCAGCAAAAACGGAGCTTGTTTTTGAAATTATATTGCATTTTGTTTGATTTCTGATTTTATTCATACTTTTTTTGTTAAGCAAAGATAGAAATCTACGGATCCAAGTGAAGCATTATGTTTGGCTTTCAGTAGCCTTTCCATGGATTAGCACATGCCCTGAGGTGGCTCCCTCCAGACCTTCTCAGGCTCCAGGAGTGCACTAGTCCTCTGTGGCTGCCATAACAGGGATCCACAAACTAGGGAGCTTAAAACAACAGAAATTGATTGTCTCACAGTTGTGGAGCTGGCAATCTGAAATCGAGGTGTCAGCGGGGCCGTGCTCCCTGGGAAGGCTTTACGGAAGGACCCTGTCCTGCCTCTCTGGGCATCTGATGGTTTTCTGGTAATCCTTGGGTTCCTTGGCTTGTAGATGCATTCATCACTCTCATCTCCAACTCCCTCACATGGCTGCTTTCTTTCTGTATGTCTGTGTTCATGTAGCCGTCTCCTTATAAGGACGCCAGTCATCTTGGGTTGGGATGAGGAAAGGGTCCACCCCAGTGACCTCATGGTGATTAATTCCATCTGCAACAACCATGTTTCCAAACAAGGTCACATTCTGAGGTGTGGTGCTTCAAGTTAGGACTTCAGCCTATCTTGGGGTGCTCAGCCCTCACCAGGGCACCCGCCGCCTCCAGCATGAGCCCCTGCTGGGCAGGCAGCTGCCTGGCACTCTGCTTCCCTGATTTGCTGGCGTGCTGCCCAGCATGATGAGGGAAATGGGTGCGTGTATCTCAGCAGCAGAAAGGGAGTCCCTCGCCTCCCCTTGCTGCTGCTGGGTCATCACAGTCACTCTTGCAGCAGGGCAGGACCAGGTCCTACAGAGGCCACAGGCTGGTAGGGCCCTTGGGAAGCAAGTTGGACAGTCCAAAGTTGTGAAAAGTAGGGGCTGTGATTTCATATGACCCTAGGCAGCGTCAAAGGGCAAGGAGGGTTTCCGAGCCTCTTCACATCCTGTGGGCGTTGCAGCCACCCAGGAAGGCTACATGTGACCTGTGGGAAGAGTGATCAGGAATCCTGGCCTCACTGGCTCTGCTGGCTACACCCATGTTGCCCTTTCTGCTCAGCCTCCCTGAGAAGGAAGTACAGCTGTAAGGTGGCCCAGCTAAAACCCAGCCTGCCATTAAAATATTTCCAACATGGACAGGAGAGTTTAAAGAGGGTGCCATTGCAGAAAAGCCAGCTGTAGTTGGCAGAATTAGTTCATTGGGTTTATATGTAGCAGGTGGTCCTTATTATGATAAAGCAACACAAAAAATACAACCCTGCAGTAGGTGAAAGCTGCTATTGATGCACCCAGCACTTGCTTGCAGACCCAAGAGTCCAGGGCAGGAATGTGGCCTCTTAGATAAAAATATGCAGTAGCACAAAACCAGAATACATTAAATAAGGCAGAAATGCCCAGATATGTTAACCTGTTCCCAACTGGTACAGCCAGCGTCAGATACTGAAGGATACTGGCTCAGAGCAGTGGGGGAAGGCCAGGTCCCCACTGTGCAGCCCCTTGCTCTTGACCACCACCGTGCCCACTGGTGGGTGGTTCCCGGCACCCCCCAACAAACCTTGCTGTCAGCCTGGCCCTTTTCTGCCTCTGTTTTTTTTTTGAGATGGGAGTCTCTGTTGCCCAGGCTGGAGTGCAGTGCAGTGGGATGATCTTGGCTCACTGCAACCTCTGCCTCCCAGGTTCAAATGATTCTTGTGCCTAAGCCTCCCAAATAGCTGGGATTACAGGATCCCGCCACCATACCTGGCTAATTTTTGTATTTTCAGTAGAGATGGGGTTTCACTGTGTTGGTCCAGACTGGTCTCGAATTCTTTGGCTCAAATGATCTGCCCGTCTTGGCCTCCCAAAGTGCTGGGATTACAGGTATAAGCCACCGCACCTGGCCTCAGCTCTTTAGAGCCAAGACGTATGTGTCCTCTCTGAGGGACTGCCACTTCCAGAATGAGGTTTCATTTTGTAATAATCTTCTCATAAGTTATCCAAAGCTTACTGGAGAAGCGCTTTCATGCTCCAGGGAAGGGTAGAGAGCCTTGCCTTGGGTTACAGGTCCCTGGGGGGCTTCCGTGGGGGTGGGTGACAGTGGTAAGCAGGGACAAAGAAACAGGCCATGCAAGCCGAGGCCAGGCAGGAAGCCAAGGGCCACTGAGAGCCAGAAGGCGGCTGAGGCTGGGTTTGTGCCGGGAGAATTTTATGATGTATCCCAGGCTTCTCATGGGCAGTCACAAGGTGCCAGAGGGAAGGAAACTGATATGTGGTCAGGTAGATTTGTGATATCCTCGTCTGCTGGTCAGTAGTGCTCTTGGCTGCAGGCTGCTTAGCCATGTAGAGGTTTTACTCTGTGCAGCAGGAGACCTTGGGCAACACCTGGCACAGGAGTGCTGGGCTGTCCTGGGCTTGCTCCCAGCTCTTAGGGCCACCATGTTCCAGGCATGAGAATTACTTGCCGCACATCTTGGTGCCCTGTTCTCTCTTTTTTTGGGATGGAGTCTCGCTCTGTCACCCAGGCTGGAGTGCAGTGGCACGATCTTGGCTCACTGCAACCTCCGCCTCCCGGGTTCAAGGGATTCTCCTGCCTCAGTCTCCCAAGCAGCTGGGACTACAGGTGCGTGCCACCACACTCAGCTAATATTTGTATTTTTAGTAGAGATGAGGTTTCACCATGTTAGTCAGGCTGCTCTCGATCTCCTGACCTCAGGTGATCCACCTGCCTTGGCTTCCCAATGCACTAGGATTATAGGCATGAGCCACCGTGTCTGCCCGCCTTGCTCTCTTATCTTCACAGCAGGGGATGGCTTGGGAGGAGTGCCAAGCAAGCCTGTTGAAGGAGCAGGCATGCTGAGGTGGTGTGGTTGTGCAGGGAAGGAGAAACATGTGAGGACCAGGCCTGAAGATGGCTTATGTCCTCATGGCACTTGTGTATCCCTGCTGCACAGTGAAGTTGAAAGGGTTGCCTTCTGCGATTTTCCAGGACTGACAGGAAGTCCTTTGGAGATCCCTGGAAGCTGGGAACTCACCACCGATGGTTAGTAGTGGGCAAGAACTGGAGCCTAAAGCCCTGTCACTGGGCTGTGCATTCACTGTGGGGTAGACTTGGGCTGGTTACAGCTGTGGCTGCATGGCTGTGGTTGTGAACGTGATTGTTTTGTGGTGGGGACCGTAGTTGCGTCATGACCATAGCTGTGTGTTGCGTCCTGTCATGGTTGTGATCACAGACATCAAGGGGATGTCTGACCTCAGCAGAGGTGCCCTCTAGGGTTACAGAGTAAGACAAAAGCCTGTGCTTACTTGGGGAGTCCAGAAGGAATGGAGATGTCTGGGAGTCCCCCTGGGGACCTTCAGAAACTTGCAGCCCCAGGGAAGAAGTCAGTGTGGTCTTGTGGGTAGGCACACACTGCCCAGGGAGAAGCAGGGAACATGGCCAGGTACAAGTTGGCGGGAGCAGCCAGGAGGCAGATGAGGGAGCTGGGCTTTACTCAGAGAAGCCTACCCCAGGGAGTAGCCATGAACGGCCTAGGTGCCCAGTGCCCTTCTGAGCTTACCAAGTATGTCCCTTGGCAGCTCTTCCAGCCCTGTCTTACTCATCAGAGTCCATGCCATCCATTCAGAACTCAGACCCTGTACTCTTTCCTCACCAGCTGGGATCCTGGAGCCCCTGACCCCATGGCCTAATCCATGGTAACCTCCCACCCTTCTGGTCTTGCTTTGTTGTCTTTGCTTCTATGTGAACTTTGCCCCACACTGGTGCCCTGTAGGATGGACCTCTCTGCTCACAGACCCCTGCACCCCCATAGTCTGTGTTGCTCCCAGCACTCTGCCCAGTGTATAATGTACACTTCATTGCTATTGAATGAATGAACAAAGTAAAAAGTTTGAAACCAGATTTGAGAACTTCCAAAGGCTCTGCCTTCTCTTGCGAGTTTCCACCTGGGGCTTCACAGTGCTCAGTGCAGCCATTCTGGAAGCCTTGAGCCCAGCCCCCACATTTGTAGTCTGTCATTTCTCTGAGCACAGGACCTAAGGAACATCTTTGTTCCTGTTTGTTTCAGATTCTACGATTAGGACTGACAATGAGCAGGCCTGTGAGGACATGGACATCCTAAAATCAGAATCCTCTGGGACAATGGTCAGAATCTCTCCACAGGACTTTGCTCAGAATCCTGGCTTTGGAGACGTTTCTGATTCTGAGGTCTGGTTAGGCAGTCATCTGGGCAGTCCTGGACTGAGAGTGACAGGCTCTGTCTTCCAGAATAACTGTTTGAATGAGGAGACTGTGGTTCCCAAGCCCTTCACCAAGGACACTGCCCAGGGAAGTAAGGAGCTGGGAACTAGCAGCCTGGTTTGTCAGCCTCTTGAAAGTCAGAGGGAAAGTGCAGAAGGAACTTCCCAGAGATGCGAGGGATGTGGCAGAGGCTTCAGGGCCACTTCAGACATCACTCTGCATTGGGAAATTAATACACAGAAGAAAATTAGCAGATGTCAGGAATGCCAAAAAAAGTTATCTGACTGCTTGCAGGGGAAACACCCAAATAACTGCCATGGAGAGAAGCCGTACGAATGTGCAGAATGTGGGAAAGTCTTCAGGCTCTGCTCGCAGCTTAATCAGCATCAGAGAATCCACACGGGAGAGAAACCCTTTAAATGCATTGAGTGTGGAAAAGCCTTCCGCCTGAGCTCAAAACTTATTCAGCATCAAAGAATTCACACTGGGGAGAAGCCCTACAGATGTGAGGAATGTGGAAAAGCCTTTGGTCAGAGCTCAAGCCTCATCCACCATCAGAGAATCCACACAGGAGAGAGGCCCTATGGTTGTCGTGAGTGTGGGAAAGCCTTCAGCCAGCAGTCGCAGCTGGTTAGACACCAGAGGACTCACACTGGGGAGAGGCCCTACCCTTGCAAGGAGTGTGGGAAGGCCTTCAGCCAGAGCTCCACTCTAGCCCAGCATCAAAGGATGCATACTGGGGAAAAATCTCAAATTCTGAGAGCCTCAGACAGCCCAAGCCTTGCTGCACATCAGAGAATTCACACTGTAGAGAAACCATTTAAGTGTGATGAGTGTGGGAAAGCTTTCAGGTGGATTTCTCGCCTTAGTCAGCATCAACTGATTCACACTGGAGAGAAGCCTTATAAATGCAACAAGTGTACAAAAGCCTTTGGTTGTAGTTCACGGCTTATTCGCCATCAGAGAACTCACACTGGAGAAAAACCATTTAAATGTGATGAGTGTGGCAAAGGCTTTGTTCAGGGCTCACACCTTATTCAACATCAGCGAATCCACACTGGAGAGAAACCCTATGTGTGTAATGACTGTGGAAAAGCCTTTAGTCAGAGTTCAAGCCTCATTTACCATCAGAGAATCCATAAAGGAGAGAAACCCTATGAATGCCTCCAATGTGGAAAAGCCTTCAGCATGAGCACACAGCTTACAATACATCAAAGGGTTCACACCGGAGAGAGGCCCTATAAATGTAACGAATGTGGGAAAGCCTTCAGTCAGAACTCAACCCTTTTCCAACACCAGATAATTCATGCAGGAGTGAAGCCCTATGAGTGCAGTGAATGTGGAAAAGCCTTCAGCCGGAGCTCATATCTTATTGAACACCAGAGAATACACACTAGGGCCCAGTGGTTTTACGAATATGGGAATGCCCTAGAAGGGTCCACTTTTGTGAGCCGTAAAAAAGTTAGTACTATAAAGAAACTGCATCAGTGTGATGACTGTGAGAAAATATTTAGGTGGCGTTCACATCTAATTATACATCAGAGAATTCACACTGGGGAGAAGCCTTATAAATGCAATGACTGTGGCAAAGCTTTTAATCGGAGCTCAAGGCTTACCCAGCATCAAAAAATTCACATAGGATAGACCACTTATCTGTATAAGTGTGTGTGTGTGCATATATATATATATATATATATATATGAATAAACCTACAGCCTTAACTTACTTCTTTTACTTTTACATGGGATCATTTATACTGACAAACATGTAGAATGTTGGTAAAGACTCAGAATTGTTCTCAAGAATATCCAACTTTATACAAAGTGTACGTTTATTTGCTGGACTGTTTGACCTTAACCCGTTCAATAAAGCCTGTGTCCCTCACACTCAGGGTGCAGTTTTGAGTTCATAGGTGCCTGTGAATGAGGAAGAGGCAGAAGGAAGGCTCTACGAGCTCCGCTAGACTGAGTATGTTAAAATAATTTACCCAAAATGTTTTCCCTTAAGGATCAATGGCTCACACTGGCTTCAACAATAAAGAAATGCATTAGCTCATGTTGGAGGAAGTCCAGAAGAGGAGTGCCTAGAATTTCCTTCTGACTTCACCTTAAATCCTTATCTTAGAACTTAACCCCCATTAGAGCCACCCAGGACCAAAGGGCCCCAGCCCTGTCCCCTTCTCTTTCAGAGAGGCAGGCTGGGCTAGCAGGTACATGCCATTCATTACTGGTGTGGTTGGCATATGTGGAGCACGCATTAGTGCTAGGCACAGAAACAAGGTGTACAGCAAGGGTTCTGAGGTCACACTTGTGGCCAAGGGGCTTGCTGTGTGACCCAGGACATCATTGCCCTGAAACTCAGAGCCTTATTTGTGTATCTGAAAATAGGCACTGTTAGAGGGTACTGAGAGGAAACAATGTAGAGGAATATGTCTAACTGCTGGTCGGAGAGAGCACTCAAGTGAATGCAAGCAACCCCTCCCCACCCCCCAGCTATGCCAGCATCTCCAGCACACCCCAGTTTGTGCACACAGCCCGCAGGCTGGATGACTATCTTGTACTGGCCCAGTTGCTCCACTTTATTTTTTGTTGTTGTTGGCGGGGAGAACGTGGTGAGGAGGAAATAAAGACAGTGGAGAAAACAATGAAAATGGGCACCTTAAGATGTCTGGGAAACAAATATGGAGAACCTGAGAAGAGATGAGGAGAGAGAGTGGGAAAAGGAGATGGCGGGAAAAAGGGATGGTAGAGCAGGCTGCGCATGGTGGCTCACGCCTGTAATCCCAGCACTTTGGGAGGACAAGGTGGGCGGATCATGAGGTCAAGAGATTGAGACCATCCTGGCCAACATGGTGAAACCCCCGTCTCTACTGAAAACACACAAGTCAGCCAGGCATGGTGGTGCGTGCCTGTAATCCCAGCTACTTGGGAGGCTGAGGCAGGAGAATCACTTGAACCCGAGAGGTGGAGGTTGCAGTGAGCCAAGGTCATGCCACTGCACTCCAGCCTGGGTGACAGTGAGATTCCACTTCAAAAAAAAAGTAGAGCAAAGAACTTGGGGAGAGGAAGTGGGGGAAAAAAGATGGTAGGGAGAAGAACTTGAGATGGAGTAGGTGTAGAAGACCAGCAGACCATGGGGTGTGAGGACAGATGGGAGGAGAAACAGGGAGTGGGGTTGGGGAAGAGACAGAGGGACGAGGTAGAGGAGGAGAACCCAGTTGCCCCACTTTACAGAGGTCTGAATGTATGTAATTTATGCTGCAGAACAGATTTCCTTAAAACAGCCTGAAATACAAACTGCCAAGAACTGAGGGTCTGAGATTTTATTATTACAAGCTCACAAGAAATCCTGTAGCTGTTGCATTTAGGAGGGGATGACAGGCAGATTACTCACAGCTGAGAAACCCGGAGGTGAGGAGTGAGCCTGTTCTGTTGGGAGCCGGGTGGCCATTACCTCACCCCTCAGGTTTTTGCTGCCAATACAACCTTGAGACATAGCCCAGGTGGAGCATGGTAGGATCCTGTGTTCTTGACACATGCAGGAACATGGAGGGAAGTGTGGCTGATGGCAGGTCACCTTTTGCAGTGATCTGCAGGGCCTGATGATTTTTTGGCTGAAATGGAATTTTCACATGAATCTGCTGCTCTGTTGGTTACAGTGGTTAATCTAATAGGCTGGGACCATGTCCATCTGACTTTCTCACACAGCATCTAATTAAGGCTGATATCTACAGGCATGAGGCCAGCTGCAGGCAGACCTCAACCCTGCCCCCACAGTCCTGGTCATTCAGCTGTGAAGGAGTTCCAGGGGGAACCTGATCTTTGGTGCCACTGCCGATAATTACACAGAAATATTTGGGCCCAAAAGGCTGCCATCCCCAATGGAGGGACACTTTGTGATCCCTTTCTCCCACATGCAAACATGTGGCCCAGAGGGACATAGGTCACAGCAGGGCTTGTGACTGCTGGTTTGGGTTATGCCACACTGGTTAGGCATGACAGGGTCACTGAGAAGTTGCAGCCTCAGTTGCCTAACTGAAGAGCAACTTATGAGTTTGTATCATATTGAAACAGGTTGTGTTGGGTCCATGTGTTTGCAGGTTCTGGAGCTTTCCCTGGTGGCAAGGGACACAGCAGAGTCCAGTGTCCACATGAGTTTCCATCTTTACAGCCTGTGGATGGGGATCTGACTCCTTGGTGGGTCTGAGTGACCACCAGCTGCTGCCGCTTAGCTCAACATGCTGTGAGTGTGTTCCCAGACTACAGTGCTGCTTCCAGGGGCAAAGCTCTGACTGGTGTTCCCCTACATGCCCATTCAGGGACTCCTCTCGGTGTGCAAGGGTGATGGTGTTCTCCACAGCCATGAAATCAATGTATCCACTATAAGTCTGCCTCTTCTCATGCCAGAACTTCTGTATACATGGAGAGTATGTGTTCAATGTCTGCCTTGGGCTGTGTGGCTGCTGATGAGGGTCTTGGCAGGTAATGTGTTTAGCCAGGTGGTCACCTTGGTCACCTTCAGCTCTAGCACAGGGGTTGTTTTTTCTCTAATGGGCCATAAATATTTTAGGCTTTCTGGGTTGCCCAACGATGGGATAAGAGTAAAGGCACCCAGTCACCCAGTGGACATGCACCACCTGCAACTCCAGTTCCTGGCCTTCCAAAACACTGCTCACGAAGACTCTGACTCTGACCCTGCCTCCTCCTGGGCTCTCACCATCTCCTCTTGGCTACTTCCTGGTTCATGATCAGGACAAAAGGAGGGGAACGTGAGTCATGTGGATGGTCCAGAAATTCCAGATTCTGTGCTGACCATAATGCTGTTTTCTTTCCACTAAAAGCAACCAGCCAAAAAGGGGCTGGGGTGCAAGCTTCATTCTGTGTTAGCACCTGGATTATCTCTGGACTGACATGGTCCTAGGTCAGGAGCTGGCAAACCATTCGTATAGCTCTTAGGCCACACAAAGCCGGGCTGCCCGTTTTGTATGGCCTAAGGGCTAAGAATGCTTTTTATATTTCTGAATGGTTGGGGAGAAAATAAAGAGACTTTTGACATTTGAAAACTATGTTAAAGACCAGGTGCGGTGGCTCATGCTTGTAATCCCAGCATTTTGGGAGGCCAAGGTGTGTGGATCACCTGAGATCAGGAGTTCGACACCAGCCTGACCAACATAATGAGACCCCCGTCTCTACTAAAAATACAAAAATTAGCTGGGCATGGTGGTGGGCACTTGTAATCCCAGCTACTTGGGAAGCTGAGGCAGGAGAATCACTTGAGCCTGGGAGGTGGAAGTTGCAGTGAGCGAGATCACCATGCCACTGTACTCCAGCCTGGGTGACAGAGCAAAACTCTTGTCTAAAAAAAAAAAGCTACGTTAAAATCAAATTTTACTGTGCACACAGTGTCCTGGGGCTTGGTGATGCCCATGTGTCTTCATAGAACCTCTGGTGGCTTTCCTGCTGCAGCAGTGTGTACCACACCAGCCAAATCACCTCACACTTGGAAAATAACTTTATGCCCTCCAGCCACTCAAGGGTTATTTTTCCTCTCAGCTCTTCGTGGTTTCTTCACCTATATGTCACAGTACAACTAAGAATAAGGCAGCTGGGTCAGATCAATAGAAGTAAATCAAAGTCCAACAATCCAGGTTAGACATTAGCCACGGAGGGAGAGGAGGAGTCCTCTTACAGCTACATGATGTGGAAAAGACATGATATCCATGGGGCAGCTTGCTGAGAGCCAAGGGTGTGAGCACATGATTTAAATTCAAGCCACGGCACAGCTTTGAGATCTGAGTAACACACGGAAGCATCCAGGTAGCCCCTGGCACACAGGCTGGTGGTTCTTTTGTGGAGAGGAAGAGGGATTGTTCATGGGGTAGTGCAGGTGCTAGAATATCTTGTTACCTGATCACACTGTGCACCGCAATTTGGGCTTCAGTATAGTAAACTCATCTGAAGAGTTTCCAGGCCAGGGATGGTGGCTCATGCCTGTAATCATAGCACTTTGGGAGGCCAGGGAAGGATCACTTGAGCCCAGAAGTTGGAGACTGCAATGAGCTGTGATCGCACCACTGCCCTCCAGTCTGGGTGACAGATGGAGGCCCTGTCTCCAAAATATATAAACAAATAAAAACATTTTGGTTTTCTGTTCTGGAGACAATAAATTAATTAAAATAAATCTACAACCTAGGTCTGGAATTGCTTTTTGTCTAGAATAATCTTTGATTTATGACACTGAATTGAAACTATTTGGAGCCTTCTAGAAGCTTCACAAAGTGGAGCAGAGCAAGGACAGGGCCCAGGCCATTTTATAAATCCCCAAGTCTCCAGTGCATGCAGCTTGACTCAGCCCCAGAAATGTTTGCTGAATGAATGAATGACACATTTGGGGAAGCATCCAGCTTTGAGCTCAGGACAGTGCCACAGAAGAGAGGACACTCCACCAGCAAAAAGTTTCCACAGAGAACTAAGTCCAACAAAACCAAAGGAGTAATTTCCCAGATGGAGACATCTGTTCTCTGTGCAAGGCCTTGTGCAGGCCACGGGGACAAAGATGGACAGAGCCAGCCCCTGCCCTGGAGTCCAGTTCTAATGGAGACTGACAACTAGCAACGATGGACAGGTGCCTGTACTGGAGGGGTCCAGTGGGCTCATGGGGTTGGCCCCAACAATGCCTGGCCTAAGAATGGTTTTTAAATGAAAAAAAATTATTTGTGACACATGAAATTAAAATTTCATCGCTGGGTGCAGTGGCTCATTGCTGTAATACCAGCACTTTGGGAGGCTGAGGTGGGTAGACCCAGAGCCCAGGAGTTCAAGACCAGCTTGGGCAACATGGTGAAACCTCATCTCTACAAAAACAAAAATTAGCCAGGTGTGGTGTGGTGCGCCTGTGAGCTCAGGTTGAGACTACAGTGAGCCATGATGATGCCACTACACTCCAGACTGGAATGCAGGGGGACCCTGTCTCAAAGGGAAAATTTCAATATCCATTAAAAAATGTCATTGGAGGCTGGGCTCAGTGGCTCGCGCCTGGAATCCCAGCACTTTGGGAGGCCAAGGCGGGTGGATCACCTCAGATCAGGAGTTTGAGACCAGCCTGGCCAACATGATGAAACCCCGTCTCTACTAAAAATACAAAAATTAGCCAGGTGTGATGGCGCGTGCCTATAATCCCAGCTGCTTGGGAGGCCGAGACAGGAGAATTGCTTGAACCTGGAAGACGGAGTTGCAGTGAGTCGAGATCGTGCCATTGCACTCCAGCCTGGGCAACAAGAGCCAAACTCCGCCTCAAAAAAAAATAAAAGATAGAGTTATTGGGACAGAGCCATGCTCATTTGTTTACACATTGTGTGACTGCTTTCAATCCACCATGGCAAGGTTGACAGAAACTTTATGGCCCACAAAGTCTAAAGTGTTTACTCTCTGGCCCTTTGTGGGAAGAGCTGGCTGACTACTGAGTGAGAGTGTGAGAAGGGCCACCCAGCTGGCCTCTAAGTCTGTTCCACGCTGTAGGGATCTCAAGGCCAACTGGGTCATGTCTGCTCTGATTAAAACCCCACTGTTAGGTCTTGCTCCGATGGAATGACCAAAATCCTGTGTGTGGCCTTGAGGCCAGTTGCTGTCCCTGCACTTGACCCCCTCTGTCCCTCATTCCCCTCGCACTTGGGCAGTGCCAGCCCCAGTCCTGGTAATGGCCCACTCCCCTGCCTGTGTTTCACAAGCTATGTGTCTTTTCATGGCTGTGTCTTGATTTGCCCGGTACTGCCTTGAGACAAGCCCAAGGGTTCACAAATGAATCGAGGCAAACAGATTCCCAATGATAGCCAGGAAGAGCTCAGGCTGAGGACCGAGGGCAGGTCTGTGCTCTGGGCTCCACACAGGCTTTGCTAAGCAGCTGGAAGAAGCAGAGAGATGGGGCTGTCCCTAAAGCTGTTGTCCTTGCAGGGCGGGAGCCAGTGAGTGAAAAAGGCAACATGGTCCCAGCTACCACAGCCCAGCCACATACACATCTGGGGATGGAGAATGCAGGAAGTGGCTGGTCATATTCCTGACCCGATGACAGTGGTAGGGACAGTGCCTTCAGGGAGAGGGAGGAGGGTTGTACCTGGAACTCACTGAGGGTGGGACAAAGCCAAGTGAATGACCAGATGGCAGCACTCACAAGCATGTGCCTTAGAGGGCACCTGGGCCCTCCCAGAATCTACTCATCCCGCCCCCAGGTATTCCTCTGCACCCCGATATGTTAGAACTGCCCATGGAGGGATGAGGAAGAAGTGCCAGGCTAGTGGAGGAGATAAACCAAAAACTGCAGACAAGACAAACAGCCAAGCAACTCCAGGCACTCAAAGACAAGGGCAGGTTTCCCGGCAGAGAACAGAGCAGATGTGGTCCAGAAGCATTCTGTGGAGGCAAGGGCAGCCAGCTGGAACCCAGCTGACAGAAAATGGCTCTGCAGAGACAGAGCCCCAAGATCCCTTCTAGAATGTAGTTACGCTGGAAGCTGCAAAGCTGGCTATAGCCCCTGCCCACACCCTGGGGACAGCCTCTCTGCTGGGCTCTAGCCTCCTCCCCTGTGCCCCTCCACACAACAGCCAATCACCAGATCATGTCTCTCCTCTGCTGCAAACTCTCAAAAGGGCTCCTCTTTCACTCATAATTGAGCCAAGGTCCTTACAAGACCCTCAGGCCCTGACCTTGGTACCCTCCCCAATGTCAGCTCCCTACAGTGATCTCCTTGGATGTAGCCAGGCAGGCCTGAAGCATGTTAGGCATCCCCCACTGGCCGCCTGTGCACTGTCCTCCCCACCTGTGCTGCCCCTCAGAGCGCTGTGCCTCCTGGCTCCTTCAAGTCCTTGCTCAGATTCACACTCTCAAGGAAGGTCACCCCATCATCACGCAGACCCTACTCTACTTGCTGCATCACACATCCTCTGATGAGCCGTTACAGTTAATTTTTATTGTTTATTTTATAATGTTTCCCCTCCCTTCAGCCCCACTAGAACATCAGCTCTGTGAGGTCAGGGATTTAAGGCAGAAGAATAAAAATGCCCAACCTGAAATACAAAATCTACAAAAGTACCCAGCTACATGGGGCCAGGCTAAGCAATTGTATGGTGTCTATGAAGGGCCTCAACTGGCCACATATGGCCACACCCAGCAGCAAAGACAAATATACAGGGAAGAGGAGGGTGTGAGGTTTAACACCCACCTAGAGAAACATGTTGTTTATAGCCGCTTTACTTCCAAAAAAGAAAAAAAAGGCATAGCTCTCTTTTTCAATTAAACAGAAAATTACATAATTACATTTAAACTCTCACTGAAGAGCCTGCCTCATGGGAAGGGCAGGGCTGTCCTGGAAACAGTCAGCTGCACTTTGGCACCATCTGAGGCGCCTGTCCAAGCCTGACCTGAATGGGACAAGTCAAATGAGGGCTCAGTCCTGCAGTCTGCGCTCACATCTCTTCTCCAGATCTGCCATCTCCTTTAGGACCAGGGCCACGCTGTACCGCAGCTCCTGGAACTTGGCTGTGGTGACCTCGAAGCGGTATGCTGACCCATCTGACAGCTTCAGCTGCATCAGGATGCTCGGCTGCAGGGAGCGAGCCAGGGCACTGGTGGAGATTGCCACATCCACCCGCCACCGAAAGTCAGCAACATGGGGCAACCAGGCCCCCTGCTGTTGGGCCACAGAATCAAGGAGGGGCCGCTGGCTCCCAAATACCACACTGGCCAAGTCCCCAACCAGGTCTTGGGGGATGCAGAGCTCCTGGAGCTGGTCCCTGAAGGTATCGGGTTTCAGGCTGGTAGGGGGCAGACGGAGGGCTTGCTGGAGCAGCATGTGCATGCCTGCCAGCAGGACACCCAGCCGCTCCTCCGGCAGGTTGGCGCTAACTCCAACACGCTGCACAGTCTCTCGGCAGTCCTCCCCCTGCAGGCTGCTGACCACAAGCTTCAGCAACTTTCTGAATGTGCTCCTGTCTAGGTCCCCTAGTAGCCGGGCCATGGCTGTCACCTCTGGAGGAAGCTGGGCCCCCAAGAAACTCACTCGGCCACTGTGACTATCACCAGGATGATGCAGGTAAGGAGCTGCAGCCCCCACAGCAGACATTGCTGCTGCTTCCTCCTTGATCAGCCAGCCCAGGAGGTCGGTCCCAGATGCAGATGCCTAGAGTGGGGGCGGAGGGGAAAAGACCAGTGACTCCCATGTTCTTTGGGCCAGTGGGTGAGGGTTGATATAATCCCCATCGTCAGGATGCTGACAGTGGGAACTAATGACAGTCAGTGCTAGTGGAGCACTGGGAGCAGGGGCAAAGGGGCCCATATCAGTCCCAGGAGGACCAGAGGCCTCCCAGAGGAAGTGATATCTAAGATATGAAGGGCAAGCAGGAATTGGCAGAGAAATGGGAGGCACAAGTTATCCAAGTAAGTTAGCACATGAAAGAATGAACTAGGACAAAGGTCCAGAGAACACAGGGACATGACAACTGACACCACAGACCACACTGAGACCATTTAACTCTTCCACCTTGAATCCTCACAACAATAGTCAAGAATTACCATTCTCATCCTACGGATAGGGAGATAAGGGTCTAGACCAGGCACAGTGACTCAAGCCTGAAATCTCAGCACTTTGTGAGGCTGAGGCCAGCGGATTGCTTGTGCCCAGGAGTTGGAGACCAACCTGGGCATCATGGGAAGACCCCATTTTTACAAAAAGTTTAAAAACTAGCCAGGCATGGTGGTACACGTGTGTGGTCCCAGCTACTTGGAAGGCTGAGGACAGAGGATCCTTTGAGCTTAGGAGGTCGTGGCTGCAGTGAGCAGAAACTGAGCCACTGCATTCCAGCCTGGGCAAGAGATCATGATGCTGTGTCGAAAGAGAAGAATCAAAGGAAAAAGAACGAAAAGAAATCAAAGCTCTAAACACAACTGCCCGAGTCAAGTACTAGAGACTAGACCTGTCATTCAAAAGTCCACCACAGCCCCCAACCCCCGGGATGGAGGAGCTGAGCAACGGGTGGCAAGGGAGCCAAATGCGGCATCTAAAGAGGGTTCCGACAGCACCTAAAGGGACAGCGCAGCAGCACAAGCACCTGCTATGACGGAGGAAACGCACCTGCCCAGCTCAGCACACCAGGGACTGGAGCAGAGCTCAGCCGGGCACAGTTCCCGTTCTCAAGGCACTTGCCAGGCCACTCTGCACAGCGCTGGGGGAGCCCAGGGAGCTCCCCACGGGCTTCATGGCGCCCCATTCTCCCTGGCGGCCCATGGTCACCCACTGCCACTTTTACCGCCCCGCCAGCACCTGACGCTCCTTCCCACTCCAAAGGGCGGTAGGAGAAGGCCTCCGAGCTGCCCTTTCCGGTCAGGCGGCTTGGCAGGCCGGGTTCGCACCCCGACTCCGTACCCGCAGCGCTGATGGGGGCGCGGGGGCCTTGGTGCACAGTCAAGCTCGGCGCTCGGCCCCCGCCGCCCCCATGGTTCGGGGCCAACCTATCCGCGGGCGCTCCTCCGCAGAAAAGCCCCGCAGTGTCGAGAGCTCTCCGGACAGAGCTTCTCCTGGGAAAGGCGAAGCAGCCTTTCCCAGGCCCCCACCCTTAGCCCGGGGAGGGAAACACCACCCGACCCCACCCCACGCCCCGCGGCCCGGGTAGCCCCCCGCACCTGGCGCCAGCAAAGCCCAGCCGATGCAGCCAAAAGAGGGCCTAATTCCCGGAAGCGCTCCTAGGGACACTTCCGGGCCGCTCTAGGAAGTGTCTCTGGGCGGCAAAGGCCGCCCCTCTGTGGTCCGCTGGGGCGAGGGGCGGAGCCGAGGCTGTGCCAGGTCCGGTCCCCTCCTGCCCCGGAGAGTCGGGGGTCGTGGTCGGGGTCCTAGACTTCGTCCTAGGCGGTTTTTTTTTTTCCCTAAGGAAAAAGGAAGCAGAAGGCGGTGTTTTGTTTCCGTTTCTGAGGTAGAAACTGCAGCCTGGGCCGGCGTCTCCCTCCCTGCCCGCGCAGAGGAGGGTAAAGCGGGAAACGCGTCCAGTGGTCGGGATCACAATTCCAGGGACCTGACGGTGTGGAGCTCGCTGGCTTAAGTCGGCGTCCGGGTGGGCGGCGGGGGAACGGGCGGGAACTTCCCCTGTCCCGCGTGGACGGTCTGCGCCTCCGCAGTTTTGAGAGCTGCCCGTGTCCCTTCCGGTCGGTGGCAGCCAGCGCGGGTGACTCGGTTCCGCTTTGGGCGGTTCTACTGGCCTCTAGTGCAGGAGCTCGGCCCGAAAAAAAGGGGCTCCATACATTTTATTTAACGTGTAGTTTACCACAGTTAAAAATAATGTGCCAAAATCATTGAATAGTGCAAAATGGGTGAATTATATGGTATGTGAATTATAGCTCAATAAGCTGTTTAAAAAAAAAGACTTTGAGAAGAGAACCTCATTAAATGGGCAGAAGATTTGAAAAGACATCAAGGAAGATACACAGTGAGCAATGGGTACATTAAGCATTCAGCATCATTGGCTGTGAGAGAAATGCGAATTGAAGCCACATTTCATACCATTAGAAGGGTTGTAATAAAAATGACATGGCGTGGCGTGGTGGCTCACGCCTGTAATCCCAGCTCTTTGGGAGGCTGAGGCAGGTGGATCACCTGAGGTCAGGAGTTTGAGACCAGCCTGGCCCCCTGTTGAAACCCCGTCTCTACTAAAAATCCAAAAATTAGGGGGTGTGGTGGCGGGCGCCTGTAATCTCAGCTACTCGGCAGGCTGAGGCAGGAGAATCTCTTGAACCCGGGAGGCGGAGGCTGCAGTGAGCAGAGATCTCACCATTGCACTTCAGCCTGGACAACAAGAGTGAAACACGGTCTTGAAAAAAAAAAGACTCTAACAAGTGTTGAAAGAAATATGAACAAAACTAAACCTTCTTACATTGCTGGTGGGAATAGAATGATATTGTAACATTGGGAGGAGTTTTGCATTGTCTTTAAAAGTCACTGCAAATCTTTAAAAGTCGCTGTAATCCCAGCACTTTAGGAGGTCCAGGAAGGCAGATCACCTGAGGTCCAGAGATTGAGACCAGCCTGACCAACATGGAGAAACCCCGTCTCTACTAAAAATACAAAATTAGCTGGGCGTGGTGGCGCATGCCTGTAATCCCAGCTACTCAGGAGGCTGAGGCAGGAGAATTGCTTGAACCCAGGAGGCAGAGGTTGCAGTGAGCTGAGATCATGCCATTGCACTCCAGCATGGCCAACAAAAGTGAAACTCCATGAGCCTCCATGTCCGGCCAGGAATTGGTGTAAATGTTAACCCTCTCCCTTTGTTAGGGTGAGGGCCCTGGTTAGGGTAACAAGTTCTGCCTGTTGAGAGGTAGTTCTGCCTGTTCAGAGGTAGTACGGGGTGGGGAGCATTGGATTCTAGGTGTTTGTTTTGGCAACGATGAGGTAACCAGATGCTGGATCTCTTTTAAAGATCTTTCCTTAATGGCTGGGCACGGTGGCTCAAGCCTGTAATCCCAGCACTTTGGGAGGCCGAGGTGGGTGGATCACAAGGTCAAGAGATCAAGACCATCCTGGTCAACAAGGTGAAACCCCGTCTCTACTAAAAATACAAACATTAGCTGGGCATGGTGGTGCGCGCCTGTAATCCCAGCTACTCGGGAGGCTGAGGCAGGAGAATTGCTTGAACCCAGAAGGCGGAGGTTGTGGTGAGCCGAGATTGTGCCATTGCACTCCAGCCTGGGTAACAACAGCGAAACTCCGTCTCAAAAAAAAAGATCTTTCCTTAATGAACCATGTAGGTGTTCCCTGCAAAAGGGCTTCCAAAATGTGTTGGAATTGGGAGGAGAGGGAGTCTAAGAGGTCCAGTGGGGAGTGAGAGAGCTTAGAGTCAGAGGTGTTTACAGGGAGGAGGGTGGCAGGGTTGAGAGCTTTACATCTGGAAGGTGATTAGATGGTTTCCTATGAATAAGATGTATATCTGCTGTAAGTAGGATGGTGGAAGGGATAGAAGAAATTGATGGCTCATGAGGTCCTGTAGGTATGGGAAAATGCAATAGTAACGTATTGGTAGAGAGTGAGTTTCTGAGATTGCACCACCGCATTCCAGCCTGGGTCACAGAGCAACTCCATCTCAAAAAAAAAAAAAAAAAAAGCGTGTTCGATGGACAGGTTAAGGGAGGGACTACAGAAAAGGAGGTCATTGATGTATTGGAGGAAGGTGCCAGGAGCATCAGAAGTTCAGCTAGGTCCTTGGTGAGGACCTGTCCAAATAGGTGGGGGCAATCCTGGAACCCCTGTGGGAGTATGGTCCATGTTAACTGGGTGGATGTGTGAGTATTAGGAGCTGACCAAGTGAAAGCAAAAATACTTTGGGAAGCTGAATTTAAGGGAATAGTGAAAAAGGCATCCTTTAAATCCAATACAGAGAAGTGTGGTAGAAGGGGGAATACGGGAGAGTAGGGTATGTGGGTTGGGGACCACTGGATGGATTGGTATTACCACCTGGTTAACAATGTAGAGATCCTGGACCAAGTGGTAGTCTTAAGAATTTCAGCTTGTGGCCGGGTGCGGTGGCTCACGCCTATAATCCCAGCACTTTGGGAGGCTGAGGCGGGTGGAGACCATCCTGGTCAACAAGGTGAAACCCCGTCTCTACTAAAAGTACACACACACACACAAAAAATTAGCTGGGCATGGTGGTGCTCGCCTGTGGTCCCAGCTACTCGGGAGGCTGAGGCAGGAGAATCGCTTGAACCCAGAAGGCGGAGGCTGCGGTGAGCCACGATCGTGCCATTGCACTCCAGTCTGGGTAACAACAGTGAGACTCCGTCTCAAAAAAAAAGAATTTCAGCTTGTAAAAGTTTACAGATAATAGGTTTGAGGCCCCTGAGGCTGGCTGGGTTAGGGAATATTGAGACTGATCATGCAAAATGGAGTGGTTTTGGCGGGTTATTTTATCCTGGATGTGATGTGTGGCTATTGTGGGTTTAAAAATATTCCCGAGTTCAGGATTAACAGGAGGTAACAGGGTGGATAATGAGGATGAGGGGGAGGAGAGGGAAGCATCTGGTGGCAGAGTCAAATAAAAGGGGTAGAATTGCAAGAGGCAAATTGTATGGAGGCCTGGAATTTACTTAGTATGTCCCACCCCAAGATAGGGGTAGGGCACTGAGGAATAAGCAGGAAAGAGTGGGTGAATCGGGTGTTGGATAGGTTGCATAATAGGGACCAGTCTGTCCTTAGAGGGGATTCCATCAACTCCCACAATAGAAATAGAGGAATTGAGGAGGGGTCCAGAAAATTCTAATAAAACTGAGTAACTAGTCCCTGTATCCAATGGGAAAGACATGGACTTACCAGAGATTGACAGTATTACCCTGGGTTCTGAGGTGGTGATGGCAGTTGGGGTGGCGGGCCCCTGGCCCCATCAGTCTTCAGTTAGAGGTGGTGAAGCAGGATGAAGAATTTCACTGAGCACAGTCCAATGTCCAGTGTTCCTTGATGCCGCAGTTGGGCAAGGTTTTGAGAGTAGGCTTTTGCCCAGTGACTGTTGGCTGCACTTCAAACGGGCTTCTGGTGGAGTTTGTTGCAAGGTTGAGGATTTCTGTACGTGTTGGGAAGCCTGTTGAAGGGCAGCTGCCAGCATCTGGCATTTAGCCTGGTCTCTTTTTAGCTTTTGGACTTTTAGTTGTTCCTCTCTATTGTTAAAGACCTTAAAGGCCACTTTGATTAAATCTCTTTGCAAAGTTTGAGGGCTATTCTCCAGTTTTTAAAGTTTCTTTAGAATTTCTGACATTTCTTTAGAATGTCTGACTAGAAAATGAAGTGTAAATGGAGGTAGATTCTGCCCTTATTGGCATTAGGGTTTAAGGTGGCATATTTAGTTATGACCTCTGAAAAGCAGGAGAGGAAAAGATCAGGAACAGCTTTGTTTATGCCAGCTAGGAGGAATGATAACATATGGTCTTATTTCTATCTGTCTGCAGAAGTTGCCTGATAATCCCAATTGGGGTCAGTTCTGGGGACAGGTAGGGTCCCTATTGGATTATGGGCAGCAGCTTGTTGGTGGGGGTGTGTTCATGGGCCTGGGAGGCCATCCAGGTGCATTCCTTGTCCTCTGGGGTGACGGTGGAGGAGAGAATGACATATATGATATGCCAGGTAAGGTCATTACATTGAGTGACATAGAAAAATTCCTTGAGGAAAGAGGTAGGATCTGTGCAAAAGGAGCTGAGTCTCTTTTTACGCTGGGGGAGGTTAACTAGGGAAAAGGGAACATGAACTCAGATTATGCCTTTCGTCCCTGTGACCCCATGCAAAGGGAGAACTTTGGAGAGTCTTTGGCTGTGTGCCTGGTTTTTGGTGGAAGGGCTTTGGGCATGTGCCTACTTTGTTGGTCAGGTTGAAATTAGAGGAGGAAGGCTTGTCTGGAGGAGGAGGCATTTTTGTAGTTTTTTGTTGAGGAGGAGGATTTGAAAAGGTGAGTGGAATTGGCAGAGAAAGAGTGAGCCAGGAACGCAGATAAGCAAAGCACCTCAGATTACCATTGCATTGGAGGAAGCCTTTTAGATTATGTCAGATTTGGAAATTGAATGTTTTGGTTTTTGACTGTTGACTATTATTGTCTGGTTTACACTGGGGCTAGGCAACATTACAGAGGAAAGCAAAGCATTCAGTTTAATGGAGTCTGCTAAGCCCTGGGCTTGGAGGTCGTGGATGAAACATCTGAAGAGTGGTGTCTTGAGGAGGTTTTGAGGAGGCTTGCTTCATACTGATGGCCGGAAAGGTGAGAAACTGAGAAGGGAAGTACCCCAGAGGGAAGTGAATACCCCGGAGGGGAGTGAGTACCCCGATTCCTCCTGGGAGAGTTGACATGGGAGAGCCAGGATGTCCCTACAGCTTTTTGCAGTACTCTGGAGGCTGGAGTGGCCAGAGCAGTGAGTGTTCTGAGGGTGTCCCCTGAGAAGCCAGGCCATGGTTACTTGGTAACTGGGGAGACCTCTCATGCAGTGCTGGAATTTTCTGGTAAACCAGCAGAAATATAAGAGGAATGTGGAAAGGAAAACAGGATCACCCACTAATTGGAGATGGATGTTGGATGTGATGTCCAGCAATGGGATTGATACTTCCTGGAGCCGCCTGGAAAGGGGAAGGAGGGAAAAAGAGGATGGAGAGTTTGATTGGGATCTGGAAGCCAGACAAGGGCCTGAGAAGGTGAATAAGGGAACAGGGCTGGGAATAGGGAGTCCACTCAGGATCTGGAAGCAGGCCTGGGTCTGGTTTTTGCTGCTTGCTGCTTTCCAGGTTGCAAGAAAAGACTTACCCATTTAGAACCCAATCCCCATCCTGGGTTTTGGCACCAAAATGTTAGGTTTTGAAGGGAGGGCAAGGGTTAAAGAATCACACACACACACACACACACACACACACACACACACACACAGAGAGAGAGAGAGGAGAGAGAGAGAGAGAGAGAGAGAGAGAGAGAGCGAGCAAGAGCGAGAGCGCGCTTGAGTGTGCGACTCAATAGCAATGCAGATATATTGCAAAAACCTGTGGAGATGGGGGACCGGCTTAATTCCAGAGCCCACTGCTTACAGGCTGGGATAATTTATAGATGTGGTGGTTAATACTGAGTGTCGACTTGATTGGACTGATCCTATTTGTGTCTGTGAGGGTGTTGCCAAAGGAGATTAACATTTGAGTCAGTGGGCTGGGAAAGGCAGGCCCACCCTTAATCTGGTGGGCACCATCTAATCAGCTGCCAGTGAATATAAAGCAGGCAGAAAAACGTGAAAATGAGAATCGGCCTAGCCTCCCAGCCTACATCTTTCTCCTGTGCTGGCTGCTTCCTGCCCACAGACATCAGACTCCAAGTTCTTCAGTTTTGAGCATCGAACTGGCTCTCCTTGCTCCTCAAGCTTGCAGACAGTCTGTTGTGGGATCTTGTGATTGTGGAAGTTAATACTTACTCCCCTTTATATATATCTTATTAGTTCTGTTCTCTAGAGAACCCTGACTAGTACAGATTTTGGTACCAGCAGTGGTTCTAGAGAAACAATATTAAGGATGGAGTTCTTTTATTGGTTTTGGGGTTTCTGGATTTGGCTGCTTAATATGATTAGACCCAAAAATGCTAAGAAGTCTACATTTTTTTTTTTGAGATGGACTCTTGCTCTGTCACTCAGGCTGGAATGCAATGGCATGATCTTGGCTCACCGCAACCTCTGCCTCCTGGGTTCAAGTGATTCTCCTGCCTCAGTCTCCTGAGTAGCTGGGATTACAGGCACGCACCACCACGCCTGGCTCATTTTTGTATTTTTAGTAGAGACAGGGTTTCACCATGTTGGTCAGGCTGGTCTCAAACTACTTACCTCATGATCTGCCTGCCTCGGCCCCCAAAGTGCTGGGTTTACAGGCATGAGTGACGGTGCCTGGCTCTACTTCTAACAGTATGGAGAATACTGATAGTCCTTGGCATCAACTGTGTAGAGAGTTTTGCAAAATAAATTTATTGAGTGACACAAAAGGCTGCTAGTTTTGAGCAGGGTCCAGAACAGGAGAAGGCTCTGCGACAGGTCCAGGCTGCCGTGCAAGCTGCTCTGTCACTTGGGACATATGACCCAGCAGATCCACTGGTGCTTGAGGTATCAGTGGCAGACAGAGATGCTGTTTGGAGCCTTTGGCAGGCTCCTGTAGGTGAATCACAGTGGAGGCCTCTAGGATTGTGGAGCAAGGCCCTGCCATCTTCTGCAGATAACTACTCTCCTTTTGAGAGCTCTTGGCCTGTTGTTACTGGGCTTTGGCAGAAGCTGAACGTTTGACTTTGGGTCGTCAAGTCACCATGCGAACTAATTGAATTTTTGAAGAGCCCAGTAATTACTCTTCTCTGTATGTCAGATCTAACAGGTGGACACGGCAGTCACTCAACTACAGAATTTAAATACAATGGGAAAAATTGGATCCTGAAGTGGCAGGGGCCAAGTGGTAGCACTCAACCATCAAAGGCAAGGTGAATGTAGCTACTGTAATGGACAGCAGAGGCAAGGGAGCAATCAGACTAGTCTGACTTGTGTAGAGCTCTGGCATTGGCTAATTAACCATGGTGTTCCTAGAAATGAAATTGAT